TGGAAAATGTGCCTTTCACAATCTAGTGATGAAAACAGAAGTCTGGCTCCTTAAAAGATGTAAAGACCTAGCTGGGCCTGGTGGCGCACGCCTTTAATCCCAGCACTTGGGAGGCAGACAGGCGGATTTCTGTGAGTTTAAGGCCATCCTGGTCTACACAGTGAGTTCCAGGACAGCTGGGGCTACAGGGAGACCCTGTCTCAAAAAGACCAAAAAAAAGGTAAAGACCTCAATATTAATTCCTATTCTATAATAAATGTTTATTGTCTTTTACTCCTCCCTCTGTAACTGCAGGGAACAGCAACTTCTTTCTCTCATACTCCTTTGATTTATAACAAAGACTTGTTATTTTTAGGAATTTAGCACTATAAATCTAAGCCAGGCATATATAAAACTAATGACAAAACATGTATCAATGGCTGCTTGGACCTAGAAATGGAGTCCGGCATCAGCTGGAAAGGATCAGGAAGAAACTTTTTAGTATAAGGAATGTGTTAGGTATCAACTTGTGGTGCAATTTCACAGTTGCTGAAACACATCAAAAGGATGTTTCAATAAACAAAATGAGGGGTAAACAGGCATGCAGAGCTCATTTTTACTGGCAGAAATGGAAGAAGAGATAGATACAAATAAAATAAGGTGTCTGTGTAATCTTCCTTTCACAGGTCCAATGGTCTATCCTGAAGGCAGTATGCATACCAAGTTCAGATGTTGTAATGGGGCAGGCCTGATCCTGAAACACAGTATACTACGTGAACTAGGGAAGACAGCCGATTCTAACCTCACGGTCTTCATCTGTGAAATGGAGATAGTTGTAGCACCTATCTTGTTATATATAAGGGTTGAGGGTGTAGCTCAGTGGTAGTGCATTGGCATGGCATGTAAAAGGTCCTAGGTTTAATCCCCAGCCATACACATACACACATACACACGCACACACTTGCTGGCATAGATTTACAGCTGGCTAAGATACTTGCCACTAAACCTAATGATCTGAGTTCAATCTCCTGGACCCACAGGGAGGGAGGGAATCAATTCCTTCAAGTTCTCCTTTGACCTCCATGCATGCACTAGGTCATGCATATACCCCTGCCCCCACACAAATGCCATATAAAAAAGATTTAAAGGTTCTAAGAGTGCTCATCAAAGAGCCATCAGAGAAGTCACTATTGAAATCTACCAACCCAGCACCCAATTCCCTGGGGCCCCATGTGGCTCCATCTTTCCTGCCTGTTTCTCAGCCTCCCTATTCCTTCTCGTGTTCCTTCTCACCCTGCCATGCTAAATCATAACTTCACCTTGCAGTGCCAACGCAGTTTTTCAGGACCCCAGAATTTGCCATAAGGATTTAGTTTTCATACCCCAATATAGCTCAACCTCTCAAAATCCCCTGGTTTAAATTTCCAAGACAAGAACCAACCAAGTACCTAAGCAGGGTCCTCCAGGCCAGACCATGTCTCAGGTCACCGGCTAGGCTGTGGCCATTCTGTCTTTGTGCCTATCCCTGCAGCACAGCGTCACGTACAGAGTTCATATGAAACAAAATCAATCTACTGTGGCAGCAGAGGCATGAGCAGATAAAGCAGCATGTACGTATGATTATTTACCGAGCAAGTGTTACAGGGCAGCACTGTGTTGGGTGCTGCATCTAAACAACTATCCTGTGTAGGTATTACTTTTAACACATTAGAAGAAAGATTCAAAATGATTAACTTTTCCAAAATTACACAACTCATAACTGGTGATGCTGAAGAAACACCTTGCAAAATCTCTGATTTCATGTCCCAACTCACTTCTGCTGACTTGCTTGCTGTGCGCAAACTAAATTTGGCCTCCCCCGTCTAATGCCTGTAGGGCTGGATGATGGGTCCAGTTTCTTTTAAGCACCTGATACTGCAACTTAAAACTAAGTCTGCTGACCACAGAACAAACAAACAAAAACACACACAAAGCAAAGAACAGAATATTCACCAAGCATTTGCTTAGCACCTGCTGGAGGCCAGATAATGGATGGGTGTTGACAAGACACAAAGATGAGCAGGACCATTCTCCTCACAGCTCTGAGAAATGAGTAAACAACAAAGCAAAGCAGCATGAATAAACGCTATATGAGGCAAGTACAATGGGTGATGTGACCCAGTGGATGCTCTGGCTTAACATAGAGGGAGGCTTCTAGGAAAGGTGGCATTTGGCATCTTAAAAGCCCAGGCTGGTCTGAGGTTGTTGGGGGAGCACAGCGCGGACACACATAAGGAAACAAGAAAGGTGGCAACAGTTTGAGATGAAGTGGCTCAAGGACTGTTTTTGAACATAGCAGAAAAGCAGTTCTAGGCCAGTTCTAGTCTGGGCATTATTCTGGACAACAGAAGAGAAACTAGGGGACAGGAAAACCCCAGGCTGCCTTTGCCTAAATCAGAAACACTAAGCCTGAGCCATGGAGGAATCTAGAATGGAAAGGAGCAGGCCAAGGAACATTTGCCCCACCCCATCCCCGTGTGTGTGAGTGTGTGTGTGTCTGTCTGTCTGTCTGTCCGTGTATATGCATGTTCGGTTCAAATACAACATACTCTTCTCTAGGCTGGGAACCTTGCTCACTCTGGAGTCTAGCCCACTGTTGGCATTCAAAGGGTGCTACCAATATTACAAAAGGTAACATCTCTTTTGCTCTCCTACCATTCAACCACAAAATTAATGCATTCACTTGCTGCCATGGTTACCAGGCCACTCACTCCCCTGCACTCAGTACTCATTGCACAGAGTAATCAATCTATTTATTTGACTTTGTTTTGGTAAACAAATTCATTCTCCCAAAATAGTATGGATCAAAAACAATAAATTATAATACAATATATCTGTCACTGTATAACTCAGAAATAAATTGATTACCCATAAATAAATATCATGAACACCATTAAACTCTGCTTTTGTGATGGACTAGCACTCTTGCTACAACAAAACAGTCAGGGGGTACCCCTGAAATCCCAACACTTAACCTTTTCTAAAACTCTGTTTCTCTGTACTGCTTAGATTTCCAGACAACAAAGTTTCCAAATGAAACCTGTACTGCCGATTGGTCAATGTGAACATAAGCACCACGGAAGTTGGTGGGCGCCCTGCAGTCAGGACTAAATCCCTACCCTGTGAATTCTGTGGTTGTCTCACTGAACAAGCCCTAGACCACCCAACCTCATTAAAAGATCAAATAAATCCATATTAATTGCAGGCTATTTTCTATGCAATTGTACTTCGATGTACAACTCTTTGGCAGAGAACCAGACTGCCTGAAGTTTTTTTAAAAAGCAGTAAAATCAAAACTTAGTATTATACTTAGGGCTGCAGTACAGAATGGCTGAAGCTGTACATAAGGAAAAATAGAAGTGCTTTCTTATGTAAGTGATTTACAGTGCAGGGACAAGTGTGCAGGGTAGGTTCTGCCCAAGCTGAGCTTCTGCATAGGTGTCTTGATACTAAAATTCCACGAGGCATTTATTTCTTTGAGGTAAGCCTATGGACCCAGTGGATATACACACCCCATTTTCAATTAGCAATTAACCCTGGTCATTTGAGAAGAAAAAGGATGGACTATTTTTCTTGTAGCTTTCAATGTATATGTAAGCTTTTTCTAACAGTTACTGTTAAAATATTGATATATTAACTTTGAGCAGAAACATTGTGCTTGCCTACTACATGCAAGGCGTTGGGTTCATACTTAGCACTGCTCCTCCCCCACAAGATAAAAATTAACAGAAATATCACTTGATAAATAGAATTGATAGTTCTCTGAAAGGAGAAAATTTGGGAACCTCTGCACTCCATTAACATTAAATATTTTCAAGGACCTGATCAGAAAAAGCAAAAGGAATCATTTAAAATGTTTCATATGTCTCGTAGCACATTCCTATAATTCCAGTACTTGGGAGGTGAAGGGGAGGCAGGAGGATCAGTAGTCCAAGGCTAGCCTAAGGCTACATAAGCCAGTTCCAGGATAGCCTGAGCTACATAAGACCAGCTAATAAAAGGAAGAGAAAATGGGTTAGGAGGGCAACAGAACCAGTATTTAAGGCAAAGTCATCTTATTTATTTAAAAATTTCTAAGTACTTATTACCAACTTCTAGAAACACTCCTCTGCATGATATTCTTAACTCAGCCATTAAGGACAACTACCATGTTAACTCTTGAGTCTGAAGACAGGTATAGGAGAGGGATCCAAACGGTATTATTTTAATTATTGTGAGGGGTTTTTTTTTGTTTTGGGGTTTTGTTTTGGGGGGTTTTTATTGGTATTTTTGAGACAGTCTCCCTGTAGTCCCAGCTGGCCTGGAACTTGCTTTGTAGACCAGGCTGGCCTCCAACTCACAGAGATCCACCTGCCCCTGCCTCCCAAATGCTGTGACTAAAGGCGTGCACCACTATGCCCAGCCTGTATTTAAAATTTTTCAAAACAATTTTTTATTTTATGTGTATTATACTCATGCACTCGTGGCAAGCAGTCAAGGTCAAAAGAGGATATTGTGCTGGGCATGGTGGAGCACACCTTTAATCCCAGCCCTTGGAGGCAGAGCTAGGTGGATCTCTGGGAATTCAAGACCTGCCTGGTCTACACAGTGAGTGCCAGGCCAGCTGGGACTACAAGCAGACCCAATCTCAAAAGACCAAAAAAAAGAGAATAAGGTCATGGATCCCCTGGAACCAGAGTTACAGACAGTTGTTAGCGATTGTGTGGGTACTGGCAATCAAATCTAGGTCCTCTACAAGAACCAGTGCTCTTAACCACTGAGCCAACTTTCTGGGTCCTAATTTTTCAAATTTTTAAGGAAGCTTATTGAACAAACAGTCATTTTGTGTGTGTGTGTGTGTGTGTGTGTGTGTGTGTGTAATTTTTGGTACTTTCTCAGTAATAGGGCACTATAAAAATCTAGTTGAAGTTATCTCCTCACCACTATCAAACAGAAGCTGCTTTACAGAAACAACCAGAAGATCGAATTTGCTTGCATTTAACAAATTTCTTTTATTCTACAAACACTTTTCTTAGAGTAAATAATCAATCACTGTAATGTAGACAAAGGCATCTTGGCAAAGGACTCATGTTCTCCACCGTTTTATATAGCCACATTAAGTGGGAGTTTTTAAATGGTTTTCTCTAACACTGTTAATTTAAAAGAAAAATGGGTAAATATGGCAGTTATGCATTGTCCAAAAGAATAGTAGTAATACACAGAACATTTTGAAATATTAAAGAACTTAATACAAATTAACATAATAGTGAAGTTAAATTAGAATTCCTATATTCTTAGAATCTAATCTACGTACTCTTTAATTCACAAATAACTTATAAAGTAAACAAACAAAAAAAAACCTTACCTGTAATGTCAAATAGATTCAGTTTGCTGTTGTTTGAAGGAGATTGAGTTTTGATTTATAAGATTTTAAGCTCTATAACATTTTTGCTTTGAGCTATGGTCAAACAGTTTTAAAAAAGAAAAAAAAAAAAAAAAACTTCCCAAAACACAACTGCTTTTATACACTGTCTCATATAGCAGGAGGCCAGACCAGGTCACAGACCTGAAACCAAACAGAAGAGCACTTGGCTAACAGCACTTAAATGAATTCAGCTTCTCCCAGTCTTCACTCATGCAAATATTTACTTGGTGGGTTTGATTCAGTCATAACACAGTTCCAAACAATTAAAGAACCTAGGGCTTGTGATGCAGATCAGTGTAAAATATTTGTCTGGCAAGTCAAACATCCTGGGTTTCACTCCCAGCACTAAAATACAACAAAAAAAACTTAACTCATTTGCCAAATTAGTAATCTGTCTTTTGAGAAATGGAGAAAAAGACTTGATTAAATGTAAATGAGTATGTAGGAAGCCACGTTTACGGCTATTTTAGAAGCAAACATGCGTGCATACACCTAGTACTTCTGTTCGATAAACACCAAGACATGACAAATTATGAAAGTAATCACTTCCTCTTTTATGAAGCCTACTGAAGACAAAGGGGATTTAGCCACTTCACATTAATTTAGCAAAGCAATTTTACATCAACATTACAACATAAAAGACACAGTATACCACAATTACATAATTATTTCACAAAAACTATACTACCCACTTCAATTAACAAAATATTTCTTTATAAAAAGTATGTTCAAAAGGTGGTTTACATTTCCCTCACGTAAATGTCAAGGTTTTAATGATGGTCACAGTAGATGCAAAAACAGAAATTAATTATCCTAGAAATCTGTTCTTTGAATATATGTGTTCCACTTGGATCACTCAAGGTTCAAGTAACTAACATAATGAAGAAAAAACCAGACTCCCTAAAGCCTTAGGATTTTACTATCCAAGGGCCCCGAAGGCCATTCAAAGGTGCTACAAAGTTCACAGTGAACAAAAACTTTAACAGGTAAATTACAACGGTGCTGGCTAAATTATTCTAATCTATGAAACTTGATGACCAAGGATTAATAACTAGTGTTCAAGTGGCACAGCTCCAAAAGGAGTCTTCAGTTGGTGCAGCTAAGCCTTAGTTCACGATCTAGGGGGTGGTGCATACAGCACAGGGGTAGATTTTAAGGGAAAAACAAAAGGGAGAGAAGAAAAAGGATCAATGAGAAGTCATGTGTACAGATCTCAACACAGGTAACAATTATGTCAGTGGTCCTGTTAGCAACAGGCTAGTTGTGTAACCCAGTGTAGAGTACAGGCACAATCAGAACCAAAATCTGGTCCCTGGATCTGAACTTAGTTATGAAGCCTCAGCAAGACTCTCCATAGTCTACATTCCTTACCTATGTCTGACTAGGATTTTAAGACACTAAAAGAGGCAACTTATAAATTGCTTAATAGCAAGCAATTTATTCCCACTGGAGACTTAAAACTGTAATTGCTTGGGTTCCAACCCTCCCACAATACTCTAATTTACTCAGGTATTTAGGCATTGTCTTTTTTGGTTTAATTACTCAGGTGGTACTAGGCTGAGATTCACTTACAAAAGGTTTCAGGAGCATGCATGTCTAATCGTACCATTAAATGTTCATAAACACTAGAGCTAGGCTGGGGGCATAGAACAGTGGTATCTGGATTCAATTCCCACTAGAAAAAGGAGGGGAGGGATGGAATGCCATTGCTCCTATACAGGTTCACTGTGGCAAAAAGATTCCCTGCTTCCATCCCTGCTTGGTATAGAGACTTCAGTCAGGACAAAAGAAGCACTCAAGTTGGAAGCATTTAACCAGTACTTGGTTTCCAGTTAAATCTAGATTTGGGCCAATTAAAGGAGCATTCATTCATTGAGGCAATTATGAAGGCTTGCCATATTGCATGCCTCTGAAAATTCTCAAGAGAGAAGTGGGGGAAGTTGTGCAGGGAAACAGAGTGAGGAGAGTCCGAACACAGGAGAACGTTTGTACATTTTTTTCTGCAGGGTGCTGAGGCCCCAGAACTCATGTAAGGGGACATTTTGGAAGCAGATTTCTCCCTAACTACAGAGAACTTTCAAGCTCTGCCTGGAATTGCTTTAGTGTTTCCTCTTCAATACAGAAAATCAGAAAGCCTGGATTCCAGATCCAGCTTTGCAACATAAAGCCGCACATAACTTCTATCAGGAGACTTCACTTGTCTCGAAGCTGAAGCATGTCCTGTCAGCTTTCCCAAAAACACACAGTAAAGAACTTGCCATCAGGAACATTTTAATGAGCACTTTTTATGTATGAGTTCACTTCACAGGAAATCTTGAGTGGCCAAATCTTGTTTGGGGAGCAGGGGCAGTGCTTCAATTATTAAGTTTAAAAATAGAAAATGAGTAACTCAGCTTCTCCGTTGTCTAAGAATGCAGCTAGGGACACGGTTCAGTTGGTATTTGCCTAGCATGCACAAGGCCTGGGTTCAATCCCCAGCACCACATAAACCAGGCATGGTGGTACAAGCATGCAATTCCAGCATTCGGGAGGTACAGGAGGGAAGAAGAGTTTCAAGGTCATCCTCAAATACATAGTGAGTGTGAGACTGGGCTACATGGGTCCCACCTCAAGGGGGATGAGAAGGGGGAGAATAGATAGAAAGAATATGAATGCAAGTTCAGCTTTGATGTTGGAACTTTAATTCAGTTGCCTCATTTTATAGAAGAAACAGACGTGACCTGCCCAAGTTCACATCCGTTTAATGGCAAAACTATGTGATGGGCAGTGCTATCTATTTCATCTGAATCCTCATTTTGTCTAGAGATTATAGAGTTCTGTCATTCGCTAAAACTGGTTGACAGTAGGTAAATCCAAACACAGCAAGGAAACAGATTTTTATCATGCAGCTACATGATACAGCTACCCCAAGATGAAGGGAAAAAAGTGTGATCCTGGCACCCAGACCCTGGCATCTACAAACACAATCTCAAAACTCAATGCCAAACTCCATTATTTCTAACACTACTGACATCACTGATGGGGCCACTAAGACATGACTGGGATTTGATTCTTAAAATTCCCCGGTGTGTCAATTTGGGAATAAATTACATTCTCACTAATCTGACTTCCTCTTTCTAACATTTACAAAAAAACAAAACAGACTTAACTAGGTAAAGGTATGCCTAGTAAGCAAAGAAATGGAAGTCAGGAGTTACCCAGGACATCCAGTAATGAATGTTATTAATTAGGCAGTTAGTCTAAGAAAAAGTAACCATCCTGTAAGGTTACACAATTGTAGGTGTTAGAATACACTTCATACAAGGGTTACTGGATCTAAGAAAATCTCACAGTTAATTCTGAAATTCACGGTGACCATCACCAAGTTGAACTTGCTTCCTTAACTGGAACTAGAATTGCAGTCTTAATTTTCCCCCACATTGGCTGAAATACTGTGATGATATACAGGCAGCTATATGGCACAAAGCAAAACACACTCTGGACAGGAAGATAGGAACTAAATGGGAGGAAATTAAAGTACATCGTGTGAATGCATGTTTTGGGTTATTTTTCCAGTATTAAGTATTACGTGTAAGACGTGTAACATTAGAATATTAGGAAAACACTAAATACATCTTCACAACTTGGATCATGTATACCATAAATGTCCAGAAGGCAGAGATTACAAATGAGTAACACTTCCCAACATACATAAACACCTAACCACTTTTATATACCAAGACAAACTTCAGGAAAAAAAACATTCTTAATCTGTTCTTCCTAATTCCTATGGTTTGCTTGAATGCAAAAAAACCAAACACTTTTGTTAGAACAGGAATGTTTTTCACATATTCAAACACGTACTGACAAGATGATAAGCATTTTACAGCTGTCTATTCTAGATCTGAAATAACACAACTCTCCTCTACTAAAATCTGCTACCAGATCACGATCGCACCCTCCTTCCTGAGGCCCCCCAAGGAGTACTTCCTCAGCAGGATGGAGAATGAGCATTTTGTGCTTTGTAGAAGTTAAATACTCCATTTCAGGTGTAAATGTCTGTTAAAACAAACAAGATCATCCCTTCTAAGTTCAGCAGCAGTTTCTGGCTGTCCCCATATCATGCGTCCTTTTGCTGTTCATTTAACACTGAATTCCCAACAGAAACTGATAAATAAAAATGATCTTCTAAACTGTGACAGAGAGTAAACGAGGTAAAATGGGTAAGAGAACAACCGAAATGGGTTTCAGAATTTAACTCCAATACCATCCATTCTGTCAGGCTTGTAGGAATGACAGAGACTTCCTAAGAAACTGCTGACAATGGCACTAAGTCCTGCACTGGTCCTTGAACCCTTTCCTAAAGCTGGACACCACGTGGCAAATACCTTTCATGAATCAAGGCTTCTGAGCAGTGAGAAATAAACAGGTCTACAGACCAGATCTACAATGTCACTTCAGTTTCCCAAGTGACATAAACATCTTTCCCACACCACCTGTAAGCTACAGACATGTACGATGGCTTCTGTGACCTCAGAGCTAGTCCTCTGATCAGCTAAACAAGACAGTAAAACTCTCCTCTTGACTTCACCTGCCCTATACCACGCAACACTGACAGCCTCTTCTGGGAAGAATAAAAACTGATTACACAAAAGTGTAGAAACTGGAGACACGGGAGGATAAAGCTCTGTACTTGGTGACAGTGAAAAGCATGGCATCTATGTGAAATATTATTTGAAAAGATTCCTAGAGGATTTTCAGTTTCTTCCTGACATGGCTGTGATATCATGAAACTCAAAAGCACTTCCATAATAAATCCACGGCACTTTCTATATTAAAGTAGCTTACATTATCTACCCTAGTACCCTGCCAAACAATGTCTAGAACAGCTGTCCTATAGCTTTAAGTAACATGTTTGTCTTTCTCACCCTTTAGAGAAATAAAATTACTTAAAAAAAATTCAGACTCTCCAAAAGGTACACATGATAATTAATGGGTGCGTCCAACAGCTCTTAGAAACTGGCAAGGAGACAGAAGCCTGCTCCTGTCCCCAAAGTCATCCATCGTCACAGAGTCATCAAAAGCAATGGTGAGTTCATACATGAGAACAAGCGAGGCAAAGGCAAAGGCAACAGCAATCTGTCTGCATGTAGGCAATGGTGCCTGGATTATTTACCCGTACAAACTCTTAGTCCTTTTAATTATCTCCAGCTCAGGTCTTAACCATGGATCTTTGCTGTGGAGAACGCAGATATGATGCAGCTATCACTTTTCACATCATTGCATGTCAAGAATGAGAGTGGTTCCAATGAATTTAAACTGCACACAGTATGTTAACAGAACAAGACATTTATTACTCCCACTCAGTGGTTCCTGGGGGCTTTGATGTTAAGTCATACATAATTCTAGAAATACCAGGAATCTTCTTTATCTCAGTGACCATCTTTAGCACCACCTGTTTATAGAAACAAAAATTGTGAAGATTGAGGATCCACTGCATGCCAAATGGTCCTAAAGCGTTCATGCTTACAATTTAAAATTAAAATATGATCTGTTATCCTCCACATTATAAGGGATGGCCTCCATACTTCTCTCTATAATAGGAGTGACTTAAAGTCAGTATTACACAGTGTACACAAACAAGTGCTGGACTACTTGTTGTATTTTGTATGATCCACAAATGCTCAGCAACACTTTCAGCAATGTGACATGGCTGTGGCATCCAAACATGTGACTTTTTACTTTGAAAATTATGTAGACCTAAACATACAACTGTGGCTACCAAGGTGTCACATGAAGCACTCTTGCAATAACTGCTGTCAAGGATGTCCTGATCACTTGACTGGCTAGATACTTGACAACCCTGGCTATAAGGAAAAACAGATGCTAAACATGAACAGCTATCCAGCTAAAACCTGAGCTTTAACTAGGGTACTAAAGCTTAACTAACAAAAATCTCAGTTTGATTTGCTATTATTAAAGCACACCTCTGAACACTTTGGTGGAAAGATAGAAGGATGGAAGAAAAGTAATCTAAAGATGGAACTGGCCGGGCATGGTAGCATATGCCTTTAATGAGAGCTCTGTAATACTGAGGCCAACCTGATCTACACAGGAATTCCAGGACAGCTGGGACTATAGGGAGACCACTGTCTCAAAACAAACAAAAAGATGGAACTGCAGGTTCAGTTGGTAGTGTTTGCCTAGGCATGCATGAGACCCTGGGCCTGGGTTCAATCCCCAGCATTGCATAAATTCGGTAAAGTGGCATATGCCTAAAATCTCAGTATATGGGAGGAGAAAAGAAGATCAGAAGTAGCTCAAGGTCATCCCTAGCTATACAGGAAGTTCAAGAACAGCAGACAATTCATTGGTGCCTAGCATTAACTGTCCACAAATCTCATCCTTATTAAAAAAGAAGGGAAAAAAAAAGGCTTCATTCTAGAATTTTCTCCTTATATAAGAAAACTGTTTATATAAGTAAACACAGTCAGTAATACTTTTAAGTAAAAGTCAGCAGGACTGTTACTTTCTATACAGTAATCAGATATCTACAAGTTTTATTAAATTTAAGGCCTTTTTCTGCTCACTGCATTAAACAGTAAAGTGGAGAATCTATCTTATGAACAAAGAACCAATCCTAAAAACAACAATTTTGTCACAGCCTATTTCAAAGACTATGTAATGCACAAGGCTCTGACAATGTATATTAGAAAAGCACATAAATTACCTCCACAGGAATCTCGTTGCCAGGGGTAGCAGGTATGCCAGTCATGAAGTCACTAGTAATAAAGGTTCGAATAACCACGGACCTCTGGCATGAAGGTTGCTTCTGAAGTGGATCTCGATCAAAATGTAATGGAGTCAAAATCACTGGCATCTGGCTGATTTTCCCAGCATACCCTACAGAAAGAAACGTCAAGGCAATCAGAAAATTACTCAAACCTAATTCAGGCTAGGACACTCATCATACACTAAAGTCAAATACTTCCACAGACCGGAAATAGAATTTCATCTGGTATAGAGTACACATATGTACTCTCGGGAGGCTATGAGAAGGGGAGAGCTCCAATTTGAGGGTAACCTGAACAACACACTGAGATCCCATTACAAAACACACTTAAGAAAAGGCGTCTGATCACCACAGTGGGGTACAGCAATGAGTAATACAGAGAAAGAGTTCGTTTTTACTTCTGAGTCATGCTGTATTCTATGTTGCAAACACTGCCATGGTGAGCACTGACCACTACCACTCTTCACAGGTCAGTTCCTACAAGTCTCTGGTCAAACTTTCAACTGCTCTCTGCGAAGCCAAGCTTTATGTGTGTGTCTGATTAATAACACCTTATTTAACATTTATGTAGATGCATCAACATTAAACAGCACCACAACATATGTCTCAGAGTTATGCTTTTGGGAGATTTTTAAATCAGAAAAAAAAAAAAGTCCTGAAAAAGTTTGGCAGCAGGTAGACTGTGGTTGGCTGAAGCTGGTCTGAGCATGAACAGGGCTATGCATATATTTTTGCTAATCTAGGTGTCTGCAAATGCTACAAAGGTAAATAAATTGTGATTAGAAGGCAACATAATGGAACCCTTCATAATAAAAAAAAAACAAAAGCATCTAAAAAGTAACTAACATCCTATTGTAGAAATCAAGATCAAACTTCCAAAGTTTAGTCAAGAGTGCACAGTGAAAGAGAATGAGCCACTTACCGGACTCGCTGAGAATGTTGTGGGCCTCAAAGTCAGCTTGGCGTAAAGCACTGAGCACCCCTGTTGTCAAGAACGTGGGTGTAACATCTGTAGGAGGTTCTTTAACTGGCGGGCCAAAGATATAGACAACCCTGGGTGGAAAGAGGCAATTTTCAGAGAAACACAAAGGCTAACATCGTTTCCATTTATTTTCAGACTGCTCTCCTCACTTCAACCCTTAAACAGGTAGGACAGAACATGAGATTAAAAAGACCTGTGCTTTATTTATCTACTTCTTTCAAGGAGTGTTCTTGGAACACTAGTGTCTCTGAATGTACAAAGTTCTATGTGATCATTTGAACCTTGTTGCCACATACACCAAGCTATGATGTCTCCAAACATTCATGTCAACCCATGTCTGCAGCTAGAAACTGGGTCTTTGCAGATATATTCATGTTAAGATGAAGGCATACTGGATTGGGGAAAGTCTACAGCCAGCGCCCACTGTCCTTGCAAGAAGAGGGAATTTTGAAAACACACAGGGCAAAGACAGCCATGTGAACATAGAGAAAGAAACTGGAATTAGGCTGTAACAAATCCAAGGACTACCAGGAAGTACCAGTCACTTAGACAAGGGGGGGGGGGGGTTCCTCCTCTAGGGTCTTTGGGGATTATGACCCATCAATACTTGATTTTAGACTTCTGGCCTCACCAGTTACAAGAATATAAATTTCTGATGGTTTAAGTCTTCCCATTTCTAGTAATTTGTCACAGTTAGCCCTAGAAAATTAAACACATAAAGTTCAAAAGTTTTTCCTTTATGGTAAGACTTCAAAACTGTAACAAGGTAGTATATACTACAAATCTGAAGACAAGCTAAAATGAATTTCCCAAACCTAATCAGTCATTCAATTTTTTTCTTTATAAGGAACAGTGATGCTACAAAGATTCTCATTTCCATTTATTAAAAGTTACTAAAGATCGGTATAGCAGCTCTGATCTCAGCAGAATGCCAGGGAGTGCTGATTTCTGGCCTCTCTCTGGCCTCCCTCTGGCAGAGGGCCTGAGAATACAGGGGATTGCCTAAGAGCCCCCAGATCCCACCTCCACATGGGGGTCCTTTTAGTAAGATGATGCTACATAGCAGTCCCTTCTGCATGAAATAACTATCATCATCATGACTTCAGCTGAACCTGATCACTAAACATCCTTACAATTGGGCATGATGACCATTTTGCTCATTCATTAAAGGAGGGCCCTCACCAGATGATCCATGCACTCTTCCCAGCCAACTGTATGTATCACACATAGCCTCCTGGATTTGGGGAGGGCTAAAGTACACAATCTGGAGAAGGCTAGGAAGAGAAAGTATGACCCATGCTGGTAAAAGCTTTCCAGTGTGCACATTCATAAACCTCAGCACCCCCTCAGTTATCTGGTAAGTAAGCTCAGTAAATTAATTGGTTCCCCAGTAAAACTTGAATCAAACATTGGCTTGACACTAGAACCTTAAAAGGGAATAAGCATTGCTTAGTATGCCCAGGAAAAAAAGTCTCACAACAGCTGGAAAATTTATTTGTTAATGCTATTATGTCTCATAATTATTTTTTTAAAAAGAGAAAATGAGAATGTAAAAGGTGTTAAAAGGATATGGGGATGGAGGTATTTTCTAAAACAGAAAAAATGCGAAAGCAATGACGGTTTGTGTAGGTTTGTTATGCTATATAAAGGATGAGACAAAAATAATATACACATAATCTTAAAATGTCTATGGTCAGTATAGTCAACTAGTTTAAAGAACAAAGTATATATCTAGTCAAGGTTTATCTGAGAGTATGGGGGTTTTATGCAAGCCATATCTACATAGCACATGATAATTGAAAGTACCAGACTGGTGGAACTAACCTTATTGGATGTTTAACAGCCATACTTTGAGGCCTATATTAATGTGATCAGAGGGACTTAAAGGACAGTTTTTGTCCCTTGCCCTCCAAGGTTGATTAAGTTCCAGGGGATTATGGAACATCTCTCAAAATGTCCTCCAACCTGTCCTCTTGTTCAGGGAGAACATGGAGACCTCATGAAATAGACTTGAACCAGTGTCCAGTCTACAAAGAGAAGGGTCAACACAGAGGAAACACCTCATTCATGCTTCCAAGTGAAGCCAGACATGGTCGAGCAGGACCTTTGACTTCTCTTCACATAGATGGAACTGGTAAAAGAAAGGAGCCAGGGACTCCTCCCAAGCCCATGTGACCCCTAAGGAACAGATCCTCAAATGACCTTAAGTGTGAAAATAAATGGATTTATTTGCGCCAACTGTATGGTCTTAAACACCCAAAAGGAAAGTATAACTAAAGAGTAAAGTCATCAGTATATTTCTTTAAGAGTTCAAGGGATTACACTTCCCAGACATTAGGCTTAAGTCTACATATAAAGTTATTTAAACAATTATTTCTCATTGATGAATTTGTTCCTAACCAGAAAGTGCTGCTCAGATGTAAGGCTTCAAATCTTGGTCTCCAATATTGTAGTGCCCACCTGTAGCTAAGGGAGACAACCAGCTATTGTTCTAAAATGATGGATAAATTTTTCTCCCCCTATCTAGAAGCCTTTGAGAGGGAACTGACACTGATTCTAACCACGCCAACAGCTATCAAAATGCCTGAAAGCAAATCCTGAATCCATCACTCTCGAGTCCCAGCCTTAGTAGACAAAAGAAAAATGAGGAGGAATCCAACAGAGGGATGCTTTTGGAAGCCCTTGTCAAGAAATTGCAATGGACTCTCATATGAACATTTGGAAATTGCCCTGTTGTGACTTTTTTCTAGCTCCCTGCCTAGAAGTTGGAATGCTAATTTAGCTTGCCTTTACTTCTCCTTCACATCTCCTACTCACGATTCAAGGATTTTCTTTTCTATATTTTATTTATTATTTTTATTTTATGTGTACGAGTGTATTGCCTGCATGCATATGAGTGCATCCATGTCGTGCAATGCCACGGAGGTCAGAATAGGGCTTTGGATTCCCCTGGAACTGGAGTTAAGGATAGTTTGTAGCCCGCCATGTGGGTACAAACTGGGAATCGAACCCTGGTCCTCTGCAAGAGCAGTCAGTGCTCTTAACTGCTGAGCCATCTCTCCAGCCCCCAATTTGGGGGTCTTTTTAGATAGACTCACTGAAGGGGTACTCCAACTGCCTCACCCTGCGTCCCTGTCCAGCATGGAAGAAGCCAGAGCGGTCTACATCCCGATTCCCTACTGGCAATTGGGTAACCTCTTCAGAGGATAGTGTGATAAGAATAGGAGGTAGGAATTGGGCCTCTTAGCAACTTACTCTGTTCCAAAGGCCAAAAATGTCAAAAATATTTGGGAGCTTTTATCCTTAAAAGATTTTAGGGTTTTCTCTTCAGAAGGGGGATTTTAAGAGCAGCCAGAAGCCACATTAAAAAAAAAATAAAGAAAGAAGAATAAAGAATATATGAAGTTATCCAAAAAAAAAAAAAAAATGATGGGGAGATATGGGAGGAGTTGGAGAGGAAGGAGTGGGCATGGATTTGATCAAAATACCTTGTATGTATGTATGAAATTCCCAATAAATTATTTATTTAAATGAAAAAAAGTTACCAAAATTTTCAAGGACTATTACCCTACATTGACCTTACAAAAGGAATGGCCCACTGAAGCTTTAAGCAGTTGTATGCTTAAAAGACAAAGATGCTCCAGTGGATGGCCCACCCCCATGCACATCTGGGCAGCACTAATTGAAGTTAGTGAGCTATTGGCCCCCAAAAATATTTAGAGGAGGAGGAAAGAGGGAGGGAAGGGAAGGGAAGGGGGAGAAGCTGTGAAGAGGACATGATGGAGGTAGTACAGGGGGATAGGGGTAGGTATGATCATACTTCATTGTTTGCATATACGCAATTCAAGAATAAAGAAAAATTTAAGAAATAAAAAATTTAAATACAAAAACATGAAGATACACTGCAAAGGTTGACAAGAGTCTGGGAACATGAGCTGAAGAACTTAGGACCAGGTAATTTTAATAACTCAAGGTAGCTGGGCATGGTGGCGCATGCCTTTAATTCCAGCACTGGGGAGGCAGAGGCAGAAGCAGAGGCAGAGGCAGGCAGATCTCTGAGTTCCTGTCCAGCTGGGACTACAGGGAGACTCTTGTCTCAAAAAAAAAAACCAAAACCAAAACCACAAATAACTCAAGGTACACTTATCACCAGTTTGGAAAGAACTATTTTACCAGCCTGTCTTTAGCAAGTAAAACCAATCCCCCTAGTGATAAGCATAGCAAAATTTCAGGTCTTTGCTTAGTATGTGCATAGAGTAAAAAGCAGCATTAAATTAAAACCTTCACTAGCAACTATTAACTAACTCCTGAGTATAAAGTAGAAGCAGGAAGGATTGAGTCCTGGAAAAGCAAGCCATTCTTCTCATAAACAAAATAGTTTCTAGAGCTCAACAGGAGAAAGTGGTTAGTTCAGAATTACACAGACCCACTCTTTTCACCTTCTAAATTCACACAGGAGTAATCACTATAGTCATTCATACTGTATAGAACAGTAAAAATCACAACAGTCCCTCCTTATACAGATTCTAGAGCAGAAAAAAAAAAGAAAAAATAAAAAAGGAAAGAGAGAAAAATAGGGCTATGGATGTAGCTCAGTTAGTATAGTGCTTGCCTATCATAAAGCCCCATGTTCAACCCTGAGAATGCACAAAACTGGGTAGGGTGGCACATGCCTATAATCCCAGCACCTGAGAGGTATAGGCAAAAGGATCTGGAGACCAAGGCTAGCCTAGGTTGCACATTAAGTTACAGGCTATCTTGGGTACATGAGACACTGAGACGGTCTTATATAAATAAATATTTTAAAATAGTAATAGGCCGGGCGTGGTTGCGCACACCTTTAATCCCAGCACTTGGGAGACAGAGGCAGGTGGATCTCTGTGAGTTCAAGGCCAGCCTGGTCCACATAATGAGTTCCAGGATAAATAGGGCTACAGGGAAATCCTGTCTCAAAAAGACCCAAAAAAAAGGAATAAATATCTTTTAAAAAATCTTGGAAAAGAATCTAAAGTCCACCAACATTCTTTTAAAGATTTGCTAGGCTTGTATTTAAAAGCTAGGGTTTTTTTAAATTTGTTAGGAATTTATCTGAGGAGGAAAAGATGAAAGAAAGAAAAGCAAGGAAAGAAACGGAGAAAAACCAGCACAGAAAGGATGAAGTGTCCGTGTGAGCTGAGAGTCCCTTGGGAAAGGGACTCTAAGAATAAACTCTAAAGACACTAGAAAATATAGTGTTTAGAGGTGCTAGCCTTCTTCAGGTGTGTGATAAACTATTATTCTAACCAAGATAACTAACTATAGAGAACTCATTTTTACACTGCTAGTCATTTTTTTCCAGTATTATTTTTCCAACGTGCTTCTTTGGCAAATGGAGGACAGAAAAAATTAAATTAAAAAAATTATTTGTGGCCTTTAGTTCATCTTAGCATGGCTGAGAGTAGCATTTTCCTATCAAATTAAAAACCTTGCTTTCCCCTCTCTCCTTATGGCTAACTAACACTGGGTTAACACTAATGGGTGCAATTCACATTTCTGTAGCAAATTTAAGTAGAACGAAGTCTTGAGTAATTATTATAGGCTGTTAACTGAATACTACTCATGAGAAAACTAGAAGTTTTTTCATATAACTATGAAATAATGTTTAGTTAGCAATTCTGTAACAAAACAAGTGAGATTTTCTCTTTTGTGGTGAGATAAAGTATTCTTTATTTGATATTCTACATAATCCACACTAAAATGTCTTTCAGTGAGTAAAAGGAAGACCTTTTCAACACTGAGAATTCTAATTAAATTGGCATAATCAGGAAAGTATAGACACTTGCTTCCTTGCTGCTAACCACTGCCTGTAACAGGGTAATACGTGCAAATTAAAATACCAGTGAGACTTTCCCTAGTGTTTTTTTTTAATTATTTTTATATAACCACTTACATAAATCCAAGTACAAAATCAGCCTTCAGTAGGTTTTGAGGTACCATTCTCCTTCTTTGTGAAAAGTTGAACATTACTAATTAAGTCATCTGCTCCCCTACTGTGGCTGGCCTGGAACTCACAGAGACCTGCCTGCTTCTCCCAACCATGTGCTGGGATAAAAAGCATGCACCACCATGCCTGGCTCAATCTTACCTTTGGAAAGGCAAAGCAGAGATAATATTTACAGAAGTGGAAAAAGATCATATTCACTTTAACTACGAGTCCATTTTAATTTAAGGCAGGGCTGTCCAACTAAAATTTTATTAGCATTCATCTGAATTCTGGTGTATGAATTAAATTGTTTTTTTTTTTTTCTGTGTTCCTCTATTCAATCTTCGCTGCCACAATCATACAGACAGAAAGCACAAGGAAACTTTCTTCTTGCATCTGTAATGGAAATCTTAGAAGCAGACAGTAACTGTCTTGGGTCTGTCAAATACATGCACATAAATTAAGGTAAATATTAAAGGCCATGAGACATTTGTTCTGTAATAAATAGGCAGTGGCTATTACTCACTAGTAGCCTTTTTAAGATAAGCTGTTAGGTCTGCCATTTCTCCCTCCTCAATCTCTTCTTTAGACAGGGTCTCCCTGTACCCCTGCTCGCCTGGAACTTGCTATACAGACCAGCCTGGCCTGTATCTGAGAGATCTGCTTGCCTCTGTCTCCTAAGTGCTGTGATTAAAGCGTGCACGACCACACCTCACCTCATTAATAATTTCTGTTCCAGGGATGCACTGTTGGTAGTCTCCAGATCTTTCTCAGTGCCTCCTCTCCAGGAGATTCCTGTGTTCTTGTTGCCATCTGTGTAAAGAATCCAACTGCCTGGTCTATCTCCCAACAAAACAGACCGCAGAGATTTGGTACAGCTCTCTACTCCAAGGACATGCTGGTGGTTTCTATTTATTTTTGGTCTTTTTGAGACAGAGTCTCCCTTTAGCCCCAACTCACTATGTAGACCAGGCTGGCCTTGAACTCACGGAGACCCACCTGCCTCTGCCTCACAAGTGCTGGGATTAAAGGTGTGCACTACCACACCCAGCATGGGTTTTCTTTTTAATTTTTATTTTAACATTTACTTATTTGTGTATGTGTGTATTTTTATCTTAACATTTACTTATTTGTGTATGTGTGTAATGTCTATGTGCTTGAGTATAAATGCACCAGAGTATAAATTTCCTGAGGCAGTTCTCTCCTTCTACCATGTGGGACCTGTAGATAGAGCTCAGGATGTTAGGCTTAGTGGGCAAGCACGTATAACTACTGAGCCATCTAGGTGGTCCAGAAATTGTTCTTTAAAAGAAATAAATGACTCTGGACAGAGTCAATGGAGCTGGAACTGACCTGGAAGCCACCTCCCCTGAAGGATAGCTCTCAGAGCTACATCAATCAATGGTCCAACTCTGGCTTCAAGGCCTAAAAATCATATCAACGACCAGCACAGCAAATGACATTGGTGCAGTAGTGGCATTTTATCTCGGATGTAATTAACAGTTACCTAATTGGAAGCCCACTCAATGGGAAGAAACTCATGTCTGGTACTGTAAACCTAGCCATACACACAGCTGGAAAAGTCACGGATCTCAGAGAAAACCCAAGGCTCTCATGACCCTAGAGAAATATAATTTCTTACTATGTGCAAAATATGGATCCTTAAATTTACAGACAAGTGTCCCGGTCACTACCACCCCTCACAGGAGCTTCATTTTCAACAGAGATTATTACAGAGTTACACCACTGGTCACACAGAGATTCTGTGTGAATTGCCCAAGCCTAAGAGCCACATCCAGGATGCAACCTCTACACCTAAGACTCACAGAACATAGAACAAGGGATGAAGAGAACACTAATGCATCTTACAGTTCTCATCGAAGCACCCTCAAGCAACAGAGGGCCAGGAACACAAAAGGCCACAAAGGGCCAAAATGCAGAGAATAAGAGTTGGGAGAGTGTGGGTCCTTGGACTGGTCTCCTATATTGAGGTCCACCACCCAGAGCTCAGGGACCACTGCAGAAGAGGGGCAGAGCTCTGGTGAGGGGGCTATGGGAGGGTGTCAAAGGAGCAGGGGGAACAGGGTATAAAGATGGTTTATGTATGAAATACACAAAAATTCAAAAATATAAAATAAAAAAAGAAATAAATAAGATAATCATTCCCTGATAAAGCAACAAAACACAGGATAGTAGAGGCATTTTCCTAACCATAACCAAAGCGTGTAATTACAAACAAACCTAACTAAAAAACCATTCTCTTATCTGCTGTCTCTTACATATTTGGACACTTAAGCCTTTTAGCCTTTCATTAACAGAAGATCTTAAAAAGCAGATCCTCTCTCATTACACTTCATCCACACATCCCCACTCCCTTCCTCTTCCAGAAATGTACCTGTTAATATTATGACACATTCGAGGAATAAGCCTGGCAAGGAAAATAAGAGATTCCCAGTCGGGTTCATCTTTACTGGAGATTCCACATACATAACTGTAGGAACGACAATCACCCTGAAAAAAGAAATGTTATGAATAATTTTTAATAGTTAAGTCAAAAGACTGGTCATAAAATTTTATGCAGTGACACTATTAATAGTCTCTTTGTTTTTTTTTAAATATTTTATTATTTTATGTATATATGAGTGTATTGCCTGCATAAGTGTAGGTGTACCCATGTTGTACAATGCCCGAGAAGGTCAGAAGAGGGGAGCTGGATCCCCTGGAACTGGAGTTATGGAAGGCTGTTAGCTGCCAGTGAGTGCTGGGACTCAAACCCAGGTCTTCAGCAAGAACAGTCAGTGCTCTTAACTGCTGAGTCATCTCTCCAGCCCCCGTACTTTTCCAGTGATAAGTGATCCCAAATTAATGTCTCAGATTAAGTCACACCTCAATCAGCGCAGACAGGAAAAAAGTATCAAAGAAGTCTCAAGAATTTATGTGAAACACACCAGAGGTCCACTTGGATTTCATTCCAAACCCCTGCCCAGCTTTGGCTCACCAGCACACTTAATTTGACAGGCAAGATCCACAACTACATTTATTAGGTGGGTAAATAATTATTTTGTTTAAAAATAAACTTAAAATACTGAATGGAAATAACCTAAGCATTCGCTAACTGATGAACAAAAGATAAAGAAAATGTGGCAATCAATCACTATTCAGCCATTTTAAAAAATGAAATCCTTTCAGCTGGGCGTGGTGGCACATGCCTGTACTCCCAGCACTTGGGAGGCAGAGGCAGGCAGATTGTGAGTTCAAGGCCATCCTGGTCTACATAGTGAGTTCCAGGACAGCTGGGGCTACAGGGAGACCCTGAAAAAAAAAAAAAAAAAAAAAAAAAAAAAAAAAAAAAAGAAATCCTTTCAAGCCAGGGGTGGTGATGCACTTCTTTAATTCCAGGCCAGCTAGGAATTAAAGGCTATAGCGACACCCTACCTTGAGAAAACAAAAAAACCCACCACCACCACAAGAAATCCTTTCACCTGTAACAATATGGGTAGAAAAAGATCTTTATATTAAGTGAAATGAGACAGATACAAAAGACAAGTGCTACATAGACAATAACACTCACAAGTAAAATCTCAAAAGGTTGATCTTCTAGAAATTCTGAGTACAACAGTAGCTATCAAAGGCTGGAGAGCATTAGGTTATGGAAGGTGGGGGTGGGGAGGTACAGGGGATGGAAAGGTTGATAAGGGTACAAAGTAACAGTTAAATGAGTTTGGATATTTTATTGCACTTGGGTATGTAGCTAGCAATAATATGCTCTATACTTCAAAACAGGGTTTTGAAGGGTTTGAAGAGCAGAAATAGTAACTGAAGAAGCTGGTGGGTACGGTGGCACAAAGAATCCTCCACCTGTAAATCTTCCAACAAACTCCAGGGCTGCAGCTGTTATTCCCATTCCCAAGGACTTGGGAGACAATCCCATTTAGAACATGGGCCATCTGTGACTTACAAGTAATCTGGGGAATCTAGGAATGGTAGGCTTTATCAGTCTAGTCCACAGACTGAGAACGATTAGGCCAGCAGAGGGCTCCAGTACACAATGAAAGGAAACTCCTAAGGGGAAGCAGTTCTGGCCAACTGCACCCTTATCCAACATACCTGCATGAAAAACAGGACACAACAATGTTCCACCTCACTGTATATAACTGCACTTCCAAGATTCCAGCACTCAGGAAAAAAAGCTATGCTAATACCCCATCTTTTAAAAAGTTTTCCCTTTTGTAAAGATTTATTTTTATTTTTGTGTAAGTGTATGTGCCATATGAATGCAGGTGCCTGAGGTCAGAAGAGGGTGTTCAATGCCCTACAGCTGGAGTTACAGATGACTTGACATCGTGTGCTGGGATCTGAACTCAAGTCTTCTGGAAGAGCAGTCAGTCCTCTTCAGTTTTCTCCCACCTCCCCTCTATGGTATTTTCCATTTTCTTTTTAGTAAATTTCGAGTTAATCTTTTTTTCAGGGGCCGGGGGGCGGGGGTGATACAGGGTCTCCCTATAGCCCCAGCTGGCCTGGAACTTGCTATGTAGACCAGGCTGGCCTCAATCTCACAGAGATCTGCTAGTCTCTGCTTCCAGAGTGCTGGTATTAAAGGTATATATATGCCTTCATCTCCCTGGGATTTAAAGGTAGGCTTTTTTGTTTTTGTATGTTTGATGTATGTTTGTATTTTTATTTCTCTTCTATTTTTTAATATATAGAATGCATCAACAATGACCATAAAACAAAAAAAAAATGTCAAAACTGGAGTGTGCTATGAAGTTATATATGGTTATAATTTTTTTCCTCATTTTTAAGAAATCTGCTTTTGGGTATTATTTTTTGTTATACCTTATTTGTTTTTATATGCGTTTGAGTATTTTACCTGCATGTAAGTACATCACCTGTGTGCAATGCCCACAGAGGACAGGAGAGGGGTCACCTGGAACTGGAGTTACAGACGGCTGCTAGCCTCCATGCGGGTGCTGGGAACTGAATCCGGGTCCTCTGCAAGAGTTGCCAGCGCTCTTAACCTCTGAGCCATCTCTCCAGCCCCCGTACATTATTTTTGTAATAATCTCTTGCTCTTTTCTCTTCTTCACAACATTCCTCTCTACTCCTTTCTCCTTTCTTTAACTTTGCTTCTGTTTTCCCCCCATTCTGTCTCCTTCCTTTATATCACTCATTTGTATCAGTCATTTGTTATTTCCACATTTACCCCAAACGATTTTTAACTTCAAAGCACACTCCACCATCGGTTTTGGCATTTCTTTCTGTTTTATAGTCATTTTTGATGTATTATGGGTTTTAATCAATTTTCAATGTATTTCTATACATTGTATTGTTTGACATTTGCTCTTAATGTGGTTTGTTTTCTCCTCTTAGTGGTACTGAGGACCGAAATCCTCAAGTGTAGGCTGCTCAGCCAAGCATGGTGGAACATGCCTGTAATCCCAGCATCTGGAAAATGGAGGCAAGAGGACGGCAAGTTCAAGGACAGCCTCTGTTATAGGGGTCTGAGGCCTAAACTACACAAGACCCAATCACAGCAACAAGCTAGGCGGTTTAATAAAAAGATCCCCGAATAAAACTGGAAGAGTCATCCAAACCATGCATGTGAACACAGCAAGGAACAACTGTGAAGATGATCACAAGTCCTCCAAAGGCCCTCACTGCTCACCTACTGAGCGCAGAGAGAATGAAACAGCAAAATGCAGGCAGAGGTTTCAAAAGTGAACTAATAACCATCAGTGGACTACAAAGAAGATGCCAACAGGCAGACACAATTCCATCTAGGACCTGAAGAAAAAGACAGTAATGTAGAGAAAAAAGCCAGCAAAATGGATGAAGAAAGGCAGCAATATGGATGGAGAAGTCCACAGTAAAAAGGGAAATATTCAGCAGGGAGACGGAGATCTGAGGGAGAAAAAAGAAAGAAATTATGTAAATGACAAACTATGAATCAAACAAAATGCCCAGTGGAAATGATCACTAGCAGATGCAGCACACAGAACAGCCGGGATAGAGGAAAGGCTGAGACACTGCATTCGTCACTAGAAATACAAAGTAAAGAGCACTACACCATCCAGGAAATGATGAGACAAAGAGACCAAACCTAAGAACACAAACACGACTTGAGGCCAAATCACACACTGACCTCAAACAGACAGAGAAAGGCTTTTGACCAAGTTCCCCATCCATTCATGAAAAAGGCTCTGAAGAGACTAGTAACAGAACAGACCTCAACAAAATAAAGCATATACATAATACAACGAAGCTCTACGACAATAAAGGGAATACAATGGGAAAAGAAGTCGTGCCATCGCTACCTGCAGTGACATGACCCTTACAGCAGACACTGAAGACTACTAGAAACTGTTAGATCTAATACCTTTAAGTAGACTGACAGAATTTAAAACAAACAAACAAAAAAATCAATATGTGAAGATCAGGGGCTTTCCTACATAGCAATAAAGAACCTGCTAAAATCAGGAAAATGTCCTGTGCTGGAGAGCTTTAGTGTCAACTTGACACACCTGGGTTGAGGGAGCCTCAGTTGGGGAACTGCCTCTCTTGGACTGGCCTGTGGCCATGTCTGAAGGGCATCTTCTTGATGAGTGATGTGGGAGGGCCCAGCCCACTGTGGGTGGTGCCATCCATGGGCAGGTGGGCCTGTGTTGCATAAGAAAGCAGGCTGAGCAGGGGTCAGGGGAGCAAGCCTGTAAGCAGCATTCCTCCATGGCCTGTGTTCCAGCTCCTGCCTCCAGGTTCCTGCCCCGAATTCCTACCTTGGGCTCCCTGATGAACTACGACCTGGGAGATGTAAGATAAACCCTTTCCTCCCCAAGTTGGTATTGGTCAGAGTGTTTTGTCACAGAAATGAAGAACAAACTAGGACATGTCCCATTCATAATAACGTCAGAATAGAATAAAATACCTATAAATGAAACCAATCAATGAGATAAAAGACTTCTACAATGAAATTGAGACACTGAAGAAAGAAAATGATGACACCAGGAGATGGAAAGGTCACCCATGTGCTTGCAGTGGCAGAATTAAGTGTTGTGAAAGTGGATATAGGTACAGGCAAGGACTTTCCGAAAAGGACTTCAATATCATGAGAAGCAATCTCCCCAAATTGACAATTGGGATTACATTAGATTTAAAGTATCTATTCACATCTTTGGTGACTGCCTAAGAGGGTCTGACTCTTACTGGCTCTGCCTCTGTGGGATGGACTTCCCAAATCAAGCCGTGCAGGTGCCTGTGCCCATCTCCCTGCTTTGAGGAAGAAGGGGCGGAAAGACTGTAAGACCCAGGGAAGGAGGCATGACCATATGGAGTCTTACAGGCTCTGGGATCTTGCTCATATGAATCTACAGCAATGGTGTAACCATGAACAAGACCCATGCAAACTCAAGCAGACAAAACCTCTGCATAGAACTGGGGAAATGGGCAGCAGGCCCCAATTTTAGCCAAAGAACTACTGGTAGCTGATTACTGCTGGGTGAGGGAGAGCTGATCTC